AGGCTGCTCCGTCGACCTCGGTGGTTCCTGTGTCCCGACCACATACACGCAGTCGCAGTGGCATTTTCAAACCTAAGGAACGTAAGGATGGTACGGTTGCTTGGTTGGCTGCTTGTTTGGCTGCTGCTGTTGCGGATCCATCTTCTGAGCCTCGCTCATATCAGGCTGCCCTGCGCATTCCACATTGGCGAGAGGCTATGGAGCAGGAGTTTCATGCTCTTCTTCGTAACAAGACATGGACTCTCGTTCCTCCACCACCACGGGTAAATGTTATTGACTCAAAATGGGTATTCAAAGTGAAGAAGCATTCGGATGGATCTATTGAGCGTTATAAAGCGCGACTTGTTGCTCGCGGTTTTCGGCAGCGTCATGGTCTTGACTATGAGGACACCTTCAGTCCTGTCGTCAAGCCTACCACTATTCGGCTTCTTCTCTCCATTGCTGTTTCTCGTGGTTGGTCACTTCGTCAACTTGATCTGCAGAATGCTTTTCTACATGGATTTTTGGAGGAAGAGGTTTATATGAAACAGCCGCCTGGTTTCTCTGATCCTGATCGTCCTGACTATATCTGTCGTCTTTCCAAAGCACTATATGGTTTGAAGCAAGCTCCTCGTGCCTGGCATGCCCGCCTTGCCTCTGCCCTTCGTGCTCATGGGTTTGTGCCGTCCACTGCTGACACTTCATTATTTCTTCTACAGAAGCCAGAAGTCACTATGTATCTTTTGGTATATGTCGATGATATTATCCTTGTCAGCTCTTCTCAGTATGCTGCTAATGCTTTTGTCTGCTCTCTTGGTGCTGATTTTGCGGTCAAAGATCTTGGGAAGCTTCACTACTTTCTTGGAGTTGAGGTCACTTCTCGTGCTACTGGTCTTGTCCTTACGCAGAAGAAGTACTCCTTGGAGTTGTTACAAAGAGCTGGCATGCTGAAGTGCAAACCGACCACCACACCCATGTCGTCTACCGACAAGATAACAGCTGTTGATGGTGAGCTTTTGTCTCCTGCGGATGCCACAGAGTACAGGAGCATTGTTGGTGGACTTCAGTACTTGACGATCACGAGACCAGATATCTCTTATGCTGTTAACAGGGTTTGTCAGTATCTTCAGGCTCCCAGAGATACTCATTGGGCTGCTGTTAAACGCATTCTTCGTTATGTTCAGTTCACCCTGACATTTGGTATGCATATTCGGCCGACTTCCTCTCGGGTCCTTTCGGCCTTCTCTGATGCAGATTGGGCTGGTAGCCCAGATGATAGGCGATCCACGGGGGGTTATGCAGTATTCTTTGGCTCTAATTTGATCGCCTGAAGTGCTCGGAAACAGGCTACTGTGTCACGTAGCAGTACTGAAGCTGAGTACAAGGCTGTGGCTAATGCTACTGCAGAGATTATTTGGGTGCAGTCTTTGCTTCAGGAGTTGGGTTTGTCTCAACCACAGCCTCCTATTCTTTGGTGTGATAACATCGGTGCTACATACCTTTCTGCAAATCCAGTATTTCATGCCCGAACGAAACACATTGAAGTTGACTATCACTTTGTACGGGAACGTGTATCGCAGAAGCAACTCCAGATCAAGTTTATCTCATCTAAGGATCAACTTGCAGACATCTTCACTAAGCCTTTACCGCTGCCACAGTTTGAGGCTTGTAGGCGCAATCTTACCCTTCTCAGTTCTTTAGAAAGCGGCTAAGATTGAGGGAGGGTGTTAGACTATGTATAGCTTCTGTACTTATGTACGTATTGTAACACAACCATTATATATAATGAGATAAGCCACCCCTAGAGGGTTGTGCTGGTTCCCCAAAACTTATTGTCTTACACCGACGCCCCAAATACACAGCGCGAGTTGGCGTTTCGGACCACGCGTCTAACTACATATGCCGCGCGCAAGGTTATTACGCGTCCGCTGGTGCTTGTCTACAGGTTGCGCGCGCGCTAAAATGGCAAAATTTACGGCGCGGCGCTTGTTTAGCGCGGCTATTGAAGATACTCTAAGTGCGCTCGATCGGTTCCATGGCGCCTGTATTGATTCCGGATAGGAATTGCCTACACGCGACCACTGGCATTTTCTTTTTGAGAGGGCAACCACTAGCAAGCTGGCTCAGTGCGGGTGATCGTTGCCGTTCCTAGCGGTCGTTGTAAGTGCGCTCAGCACGTTTCTTCGTTTTTTCCTTTTATTTTTTGTCCTTGGTGTTGTTTGTTTTTTCATCGATTTTTTTGGTTTTTCTTTTTTCCCCCTTCATTTACTTTGATCTTCTTTGTTTTCTCATTGGGGTTTTTCGTGCTATACTTTGGTTTTCTTTGTTTCTCTTACAAATTGTTTATTTTCTTTACTTTTTTTTTCGGGTTCTTTATCAGTTACATTATTTTCAACACATGTCTACTTTTTCTCAATGCACAATGTATATTTTTAAAACACACATAACCGCACCCTTATTTTGGCGCCTTAAACACCGATTAGGAGCTCCATATTGGCTCGTATATTCCACCTAGAGGGGAGGCCCTATTTCACACAAAATAAGCCAACTGATATAGGCCAACCTTTGACTGGGCCGGCCCATATATAGATTCTGTGGCGAACCGGCATAATGTATGAATCAGTTCGTTTTCTACAATTTCCATTTAGGTTTTTTTCGGAGACAATAAATGCGCATATGCTCATACATACGCACATACACTCACCTCTATGAAGACACGTACACATATCCTACCCCTATGAGCATCTCCAAGAGACCGAGCCAACACATCATGTTGAGATTGACAATGTCGCCAATGTCACCTCCTACTGAACGCACATTGCCAAAAGGTCTGAAATAAATTCAAGATAATGCAAGCACTAATGTCAGGTCTAGGACCTGAACCCTGGTGGGCCAGGATTACCACTGTCATACTAACCATCGAACCACAGGTTGGTTTCATTTGGGATTTTGTGAAAACACGATAAAACATATTTTTAGAAAGTGAGCATTTTTCAAAAATATATTTGAGAAAATAATTATGAGCAATTTTTGAAAACCGAGATTTTTTTGAAACACAAATATTTTTTGAACAATCACTTCTATAAAAGGCATACATTTTTTTGTGAACACGGACATTTATTTATTACATTTATTTATTTTATTTAAAAAGAAAACAATTTTAAGGCTACCACTTTTTAAATTATCGAACATTTTTTTTGGAAACATGAACATTTTCTAAAATTCAAAATTCAATTTTTTTAAAAATTCCAACAATTTTTGAAATTTCCAAACATTTTATACAAATACTTGAATCATAACGGCTTACTTCAATTTTGACCCTATACCCCATCAGTATTTGTATAGAACTAGACCGGATCTTTCCTGAAATATAGCCTAGGAAGAGGGTACCACGCGACAAGCGTGGTAAAAGCAATTTCAAATTGACAAAAAAAATAGCCTAGGAAGAGGGTCTCATTCTCTAGTTGAACATGGAACATTCCATTGGGTAGGGCTTCATAACTAAACCTTTGAAAGTTACTTTCTTGAGCACTTTTTGTAAATTGAAAAATTAAAAGAAAAAGAAAAGGAAAAGAAAAAAAAACAATCAAAATAACCAGTCGAACCATTTCTCAAAACTGGGTCCTTGTAGTACTCCATCAGCTAACTTCCCTTGCCATACCAGTGGGTTGAATGAGTCTTTCGGCAAGGCGACTAGAGCTTTCTAGAAGGTTCCTGACTGGTTATTTCGATATATTTTTTTCTGTTTTTTTTTCTTTTCCTTTCCATCTACTCCCTCCGTTCCTAATAAATATAAGTCTTTGTAGCGATTTCACTATAGATCATATACGAATGTATGTAGATGCATTTTAGGGTGTGGATTCACTCATTTTGCTCTGTATGTAGCCCACAGTGAAATCCCTACGAAGACTTATATTTGGGAACGGAGAGAGTAGAACCCAAGTTTGGCCAAGAATTTGTGCCGAGCCCAGATATCACAACTGTAACCCGGAATTAACAGCTGGGAAGTCACAAGGATATCATCCAGATTAAGGCCTGCATTTCCTATCCAACGTGAAGAAACTTTTATGCTACTTCAAATTTCTTGAAGGAAGATAGAGAAGCATAGCGAAGTGCTTCAATACAATGATCATATATCAATACACGGGACCTAGTGTGAGGAACATGCATTTAGTTTGCCTTGCACGCAAGTATAAGAAGATTCCCAGAAGAAACGGAATAAAAATAACACAAGCATGATCTTTAATTTGGCATCGCGTGACATATAATAAATGATCAATATCAGGGGACAGTGACAATACCATGATAACGCCAAGCTACCCGGTCAGAAGTCCATGGCTCCATGCTAAGGATCGGTGGCACCATGGCTATCAGGGCATTAGGCAGGCGGCCTAACCACTTGTGGCTTCTCCACCTGATCTTCTTTTCTCTAACAAGTTGTCCACCTCTTCAAGTGGGCAATAGCTACCATAGCATGTCAAAGACGGTATAACATAAACACACTCACAAATAAAATGTAGCTCAAGCTTGCTAAATGATTATCATCGTTGCCCAGAAGAAGAAAGGTTATGGTGATGCCAGCTTGTCACTAACGAACTTCTAGCTTGTCACTAGCGAACTTCTGACGCCAATTCAATCAAGGATTAGCATCTCATAACTATCTCAGTACCAACATCATCAAGGTCCATAATAAACTAATGCTCAGAAAAGAAGGCCAATATGAAACAAAAGGACAATCATAATTTGCGAAAAATCAGTAATAAAACCATGGGACAAACTATTTTGCACCGTGCAGCTAACGTCAATTTGGACTTCAAACTTCCTAAAAAGGAAAATTTCAAAATAAAAAAATATCCCATCACAGTCCTCTCTGTCTAGAAGCCACCACGACTGACTGAGATAAGAATCATCATAAAGAAAAAATAACCTATTCGCATGTTAGACCAAGAAACTGAAGCATGAGTTCAAATTGGACTCTATGAAAGGGCCTTCGCAGCAAGTGGGAAATTAATTAGGACCACATGCATACATACATGATGAAAATGGCAAGCATAAATGGAAGCAGTAGCTTCGGCCATACAACTCGCCGAACCCCAAGAAAAATGGACACATTCCTCTTCCTTATCATTCTTCCATTGCTCACCACTCTGCCATGCTCATATGCTCAGTCGATGCTAAGCACTGGCTCATCCTTATTTGTAGAAGAGCATAGGCAGACCTTCCTTACCTCACCAAATGATGATTTCTCTTGCGGCTTCTATGAAGTTGGAGAGAATGCATTCTCCTTCTCTATCTGGTTCACCACCACCATGGAAAAGACTGTTGTATGGTCTGCAAACCCCAGGTCCTTGGTGAATGGCCATGGTTCCATGGTGTCCCTGAACCATAATGGAAACTTGGTCCTCACTGATGTCAATGGCACAGTCACTTGGGAGAGCAAGACAAGCTCTGGGGAGGGCACGGTGGTTTCCCTTCTTGACACTGGCAACCTCATAATCAAAGACTCCACTGGTGCAAATTTGTGGGAAAGCTTCTCTTCACCGACAGATACATTGCTGCCTTTACAGACTCTCAAAAAAGGTACAAGGCTGGTCTCCAGTTATTACAGCCTTTATTTCGACAACGACAATGTGCTACGCCTCATGTATGATAGTCCAGAAATATCAAGTATCTATTGGCCAAGTGCAGACTACACAGTGCCTCAAAGTGGGCGGACTAGCTACAACAGCTCTAGGATTGCAGTCCTCGACACTGAAGGATTTTTCCTCTCAAGTGATGGGCTGAATGTCAAGGCTTCTGATTGGGGTAATGGCGTCAAGAGAAGGCTGACAATTGGTTCTGATGGAAACCTCAGAATGTACAGTCTGAATGTGTTAAATGGGAGTTGGATAATATCATGGCAGGCTATAGCAAAACTGTGCGATGTGCATGGGCTATGTGGAAAAAATGGGATATGTGAGTTCTTGCCAAGTTTCAGGTGTTCATGTCCCCCAGGATATGAGATGACCGATCCGCAAAACTGGAACAAAGGTTGCAAGCCACAATTCAGTAAAAGCTGCAGCAAAGCAGAAGAGTTTGACTTCATCAAGCTCCCTCAAACCGACTTTTATGGCTTTGATCTGACCAATAATGTGTCCTCACTTGAAGAATGTAAAAAGATGTGCTTGAACATTTGCTCCTGCTCAGCTCTCACGTACAAGGCGGGATATGGACTTTGCTACACCAAAGCTGTACTCTTCAATGGTTACAGCTCCCCAAATTTTCCTGGCGATAACTATATCAAACTACCCAAGAATATGAGCATCTCCAGACAATCTCGTCTCACATGCAATCCGGATATTCCAGTGCATGTACAAGGATCTGCAAGTATGTATGGAATGAATGATGTCACCAAGAGTTATACAATTTATTATGTGTTTGCAACAATATTGGGAGCCCTAGTCTTGCTCTTTATCGGTACAAGCTGGTCGTTTCTTTACAGCAAGCAAAACATACCTAAGTCAATGGAAGAAGGCTATAGGACTGTGATGAGCCAGTTCAGGATGTTCATCTATAGGGAATTACGGGAAGCGACTGGAAAGTTCAAGGAAGAGATTGGAAGAGGGGGTTCTGGAATTGTTTATAGAGGGGTACTTGAAGATAAGAGAGTGGTGGCAGTGAAGAAACTAACCAGCGTTTCACATAGCGAGGAGGAATTCTGGGCAGAAATGAATATAATCGGAAGGATCAACCATATGAATTTAGTAAGGATGTGGGGGTTTTGCTCCGAGGGACAACACAAACTGCTGGTGTACGAGTACGTGGAGAATGAGTCCCTTGATAAGTTTATATTTGGTAATGTAAGTACTGAGAGATTACTTGCATGGAGCCAACGATTCAAAATAGCACTAGGAACAGCAAGAGGCTTGGCGTACCTCCATCATGAGTGCCTTGAGTGGGTGATCCATTGTGATATAAAGCCAGAGAACATACTCCTGACCCGAGACTTCGAAGCAAAGATAGCAGACTTCGGACTAGCCAAACTCTCAAAGAGAGACAGTTCCAGTTTCAATCTCACCCACATGAGAGGAACAATGGGCTACATGGCGCCAGAGTGGGCACTGAATTTGTCGATCGACGCAAAGGTTGATGTATACAGTTGTGGCGTTGTACTTCTCGAGATTGTGACTGGAAATAGGATCTCAAGTGGGATTACAGTGGATGGGAAAGAGGTGGAGTTTAGACAGTTTGTGCATGCAGTTAAAGAATTGCTGGAGAGTGGAGATGTCAAGGTTATAGCTGATGCTAGACTGAATGGCCATTTCAATCCTGAGCAAGTGCCGGTAATGGTGAAATTGGCTTTATCTTGTCTCGAAGAAAGAAACAGCAGACCTACAATGAATGAAATTGTAAAAGCTCTACTGACATGTGATGACGAAGACAATCACCCAGCCTACTCATGGTGACCGGCAATAAACAACAGTGTATCAATTGCAATAAGAAGAATTGGTCTAGTATATTGCTTGATATTTGAAAGTAGAAGAAAATGTTGCTACAGAAAATGTCAGGTTGTGTGTTGCATAAATCTTTCTGTAGATGGAACACTAACTGCACTGCATTGAATGTTGTCTACATGAATTCTTGCATGAAACATAGTGGGCTTATTTGGATAGTTTTTCCTTACAGAAAAAAAAGAAAAGAAAAGAAGATTTTAGTCTGCATAACTGTTTGATCTTCTAGAGCATGTAACAACTTCCAAAGATTCCCGCTGTTTCTTCAAAAATCCGTTCTTCCATTCGAGATCCCTTCAGTGCAACCAGAGACCGCGTGACTCTTGTTAGCAAATAGCCAGTTAACAACTGACAACATTCACTCAATGAAATCTTGTACAAATATAAGATACTGATAAATGTGACCAATAACTCAAAGGAAAATTTGCTAGTAGCTAAAATACTAGCACAAATCATTTCAGCTATCAATGTCTTGCTGAATTAGCAGTGGAATACTGACTCGAATGGTCCATCGATCTAGTACTACGGGACCACTACATTTTGGCACCAATTTATGGTCAAACTTTCGGCTGGTAACATAATCAGTAAAGTGATCCAGTCATCCTTGGACTACATTATTAGTCACGATGGTAGAAAGTACAAATCGAGCACCAGGGCCAAATTATTTTTTCCAAAAATATGGGAAAACTTTAGCACTTATAACTGTATCAGCTTAATCAGAACACTGCTCAAGTTCGGAATATCTGCAATCGTTGGAGTAACAAAAATGATTGATTTAGCTTCCTGTTCAGAAAGAGTGCAAATGTGCATATGTGTATTGGGCCTTACTGCCCTATGGTCCCCATGCCGATGCAATGAATTACCAAGGTTGTAGTACATATTAAAAGAACAATCAACAAATAGTGCGAAAGGCACTGTTGAAAATACGGAACAAGTATATACCATGATAGGTTCTTCTTTCAGTCTCAACAAAATGATAAAGATTCTTCATTCTTGTACCGTTGCAGGACGGCGGGGGCGTCGGGACCTGAGCGCGGGGGACGGCGCCGGCGGGAGGCCTGCTCGGGGCGCGCGCGGGCAGGCGCAGGACGGCGGGGGCCGTGGAACTGGGGAAGGCCGGGACCGGGAGCGCGGGGACGGCGACGGCCGCCTGCACGAGCTGCGGAGCCGAGTCGGGTTACATCGTGGGTGCGGCGCGTGTTTTTTTTTTTGAGTCCGCGAGAAGGAGGCCCGTGCGTGCGTGCGTTAGGGATGAGCTGGGCTTGGGCTAACCCGGCTGAGCCTCTGGCCTGGGGCCCAGCTTTGTGAGAGCTTGAGAAGCACTCTATCACATGAGGTGATCCTCAAAAAAAAAACTATCACATGAGGTGGGCTGAGAGCACGCCAAGGCGCTTTCTTTGGTTTTTTTTTCACGCGTTTTCGGCTTTTTAGATGGTCTTTTTTGGGGTTTTGACTTTTGGGTTTTTCAACGTCTTTCTTAGCTTTTCGACAAAAAATTTTTTACGTGAAAAACCACGTTTTTTCGTGAGTCATGGTTTTTCTTCGCGAGAGGCACGGCTCTCGGAAGCGGAAAAAAATATGTATTTTCTCTTTTTTTTTTCGTGAGAGGCATGGTTTTGCTTCCGCGAAAGGCACGGCCGTGCCTCTCGGAAGCGAAAAAAATGTGTATTTTCTTTTTTTCTTTCGTGAGAGGCACAGTTTTGCTTTTGTGAAAGGCATGGCCGTGCCTCTCGAAAACAGAAAAAAACGTGTTTTCTCTTTTTTTTCGCGAGAGGCACGGCCGTGCCTCTCTCTCGAAAACAAAAAAACTTGTTTGTTTTTTCTTCCGTGTGAGTCACGGTTGTGCTTCTGCGATAGGCACGGCGTGTCTCTCGGAAACGGGGGAAACATGTTTTCTCTTTTTGTTTCTTTCATAAGAGGCACGCTTTTGCTTCCGCGGGAGGCCACAGATTTACTTTCACGATGCCTCTCGAAAACGGCTTCCGAAAAGAGAAAAAAGTGCTCCCGGTTCATTTTTTTGGTTTAGTTTCTTTATGAAAAAAAGTTTGTTAAAACCTATTATCACGAGATCTATTTATGAAGATCTCGATGAAAGGAATCCAACGGTGAAAACGGTTCGAGGTTTGGACGCACGGTTTAAAAGATGACGCTTTGACTAAACGGATCTACGGAAAAAGAAAAACTTTCGTGTTGCGACAAGTGACACACATGCAATGCAAAACTTGTTAGGCTGGTCATAGTGGGGAGTAACTTATACTAGTGTCATGCATATGACACTAGTCTAAGTTACTACCTTCATAGTGCAAAGTAACATGGTACTAGTGTCAGAGGACTTCATTTATTATCTTGTAGACTCATCTTGTCTTGGTAAGCGTTATGTTACAGTAACATATTATGTTACCACTTCTCATTAACTACATGCCACGTAAGCAAAATTTTCTTGGAGTGCGCTATGTTACTAGCTAAGTTACTCCCACTATGACTAGCCTTACAATCTAGGGAGGGAGAGTGATCTTTGAAAAGAGTACCACTCAATTAGTGACTCTGCTGTTTTGTTCAATGAATTGGAGCCTGTTACTTTTTTTTGCATGGGAATTGGAGCCGGTTACGTCCCAATACCCTTTCGCCAGGCTGATGTTATGTTGATATCATGCACTTTTTCTTTTTTTATTGTGATTTTTTATTAAATATTCCGGATTAAATTTTAAAAATGTGAATAGTTTTTGTACACATATATTTCAAAACTTAAATTTGATTAAAAAAATAAAACCAGTAATTTTGTAAAAATATTATGGCAGTGTACAATTTTTTTACCGTAACTTAATGGCGTTAAGAAAACAATTAATAAAAAATGTTCATGTATTTCAACAAAATTTAAGTGACATTAAAAAATGTTAATAATGTATTTAAAAAAATGTTAAACATGTATAAAAAAGTTCTTGATACCTACGACAAATGTACAACGTGTATGAAAGAGTAGACATTAAAAACATATATTGAAAAAAAATGTAATTATCCATTTTAAAATATTAAACCATATAAAAATTGATACTGATGTATACATTTTTGCCTGGTATGTTACTGATGTATATGAAAAATGTAAGACGTACATGATAAAAATAGACATCAAAACATATATTTTAAATGCCCCTAAACTCCCAAGTCGGTTAAATCACCCCCAAAGTCTCTAAAAAGGGGGGGAAATTTCCCCTAGGTTGTTTTTGAGAGGATTTCAGGTGGTTTGTCGCTACCTTTCTTTCCTCCTACATCCTCTTCGTCTCTACCTGCATCCTCCCTCCCTCCTCCTCACCTCTACCGTCACCGCCGTCACCGTCCTCCATTGTCATCGTCGCCACCAACTCCATGGCTCCAGGTACATCGCCGACCCATGTTTCTCGCTCTCCTCCGCTGGCTTCCATGAGAGTGGGTATTTCAAAGTTTGCTTTTTGAGAGTTTGGGGGGGGGGTTAGACTTGGACTTGGTGTGCAGCTGTGGCAAAAAGAGAGGGGATTTGGGGGTGTGTGGGTAGTGTTGTGCAAAAGGAGAGAGGGCATCAAGGGGGCAGAGGAAAATAGGGGAGTACAACAAAAACAACGGAGAAGATGGGGGAAAGGGGGCCTTTTGTTCTTCAAGTGTGGTGTGGCTGTGAGTTCATTAGTTGTTGCATTAGATTATGTTTTGATCAAAGGCTTTTTTTATTTGTGCAGCTACTGTTGTTGATCCACCAGATCCTTTAGAAGATTTTGTTGTTAGACCACACTACTTTGGAATATTTTAGAGATTGGATGGATTGGTTGAGTACACTCATGGATTGAAGGCAAAGTTTTTTGGGGGGCAGAACCAAAATGGGGTTATTTCCTAAAACATTCATAACACCTCCTTGTGCCTTTCTCTCATTCTCCTATGATCTCGTAGTGCTCTATCAAACCGTTAATTGTTAAGTGTTATGACCCTACAGGATCGGTAATAAGCAGACATGACCCAGACCACTTGAAGCTTGAGGGTTGGATGATGGATTGCTGCTGAAGTCCATGGGATGGTCCTCATCACAATATTATTATTCCCTCTGATCCATATTACTTGTCACTCAGACAATTATATGTAGCATCGAAATGCGTTCAGATACATCCGTTTTAGCGACAAGTAATATGGCTTAGAGGGAGTAAGAATTGTAATCGAACAACGACATGGCCTCTACTTTCGCGGCATAATATAAGTCAAGTGTTCTACCCCAACACCCCAACACAGATGCTTCAGGTTGATCTTAAACGTAATGACACAAGGCATGTTTGAAATATTTCTAGAAAACTCTCGCATTATACTCAGTTCAAATTTTCCATGAAGCGAGCATGAGAAGAGATGTGATTCCTTTCATGGTTATGCCATCGACATGGTTAAGAGCATCTCCAATAGATGATGTAGATATAAAAATAACATATTTTTACATCAACAAGGCACAAAAACACTACTCCAACAGATGATGTAGATGCAAAAAAATTACTCGAGATTTGCTCGTGACATAAAATAGGGAACCAAGTGATGCAAGTTTGCATCACTTGGGCAGCTCGAGCAAAACGTGCGCATCCCCAACTATCGCGTGGAACCTTCCCGCCGCGCGCCTGTCGCTGCCAGACCCCATGGACGCTTCTTCAGACCGTGCGGCTACCAACGCCGCTCTGACACACCTCACTATGGCCGCCTCCACGGTGATGTAAATTTTACATCATCTGTTGAAGTTGGAGGTTTTGTGGTGATGTAAACTTTAGATCATTGTATGGAGTTCGAGTTTTATTGATGATGTTAATATGTACTTTGTGGTGATGTAAATTTTATTCGAAGTACAATTTGATGATGTATTTTTACACCACCAATCCATGACCGAGTTGTAGTTGTGCCAATGCATGATATGGGCGTTGACAAGGCTTAGCCAAACTACAAGCTCCTCCAAGTGCACC